GTCGGATTATATATCCACCCTGCAATGACAATAATGGTTTGAGCTGAAATTTGAAAAACTTGTAACAACAATAAAATATGTGTTTGAAGCCTTATTTACATGGGTAAAGAACAGAAAGTAATAATGCTATGACATCATATCAACTTCTTTTGGCGTCAATTGTTTCTTTGTGATAAACATCTGAGAATGTGTATTTCATGATTTGTGTTTAAAGAGAGTTTTAACTTTTAACAAGAATAATCATTTCTACAACTGACAGAAATCAACCACTTGAACACAATCTATTGCCACTATTTCCCTATCATCTGTTCACCATGCAATTCACTACAATATATTATCGCTCTAAATGAGCTCTATGAGAGAGATTTTGGGCTGTGTTTGACAGTGGAATTGTCTGGACACAGTGTTTGCTGAGAGGCTGCCAGGACACAGTGTACACTACCAGGACTGACCAAAACCTTTTATTCAGACCAATGTGTGTGTGTGTGTGTGTGTCTATGTCTGTGTCTGTGTGTGTGTGTGTGTGTGTGTGTGTGTGTGTGCGTGCGTGCGTGTGTGTGTGTGGTGCTGGGGGGTGAACCTGGGATGGAACAGTGACAGAGTAAAATGTCAGAATTGTTGTTATAATACTGCTCATTCAACCCGGCAACGGTGACACATGGGAATTGAAACTAATGCGCAACAATATAAATGTCTTATGTATAAAATGTCTATCTCCAACAGTGCTCAAATAAAATATGAGAGTAATCTTCTTCTTTCATTTGTTATCCATGTCAGAATTAATATAAGTAATGTCATTAAAAGTAAAAGGGCTCTTTAAAATATCCATCCATCCATTTTCTTCCGCTTCATCCGTTGCCGGGTCGCGGGGGCAGCAGTCTAAGCAGAGACGCCCAGACTTTCCTATCCACACACACCTCCTCCAGCTCGTCCGGGGGGACCCCAAGGCGTTCCCAGGCCAGCTGAGAGACAATATCCCTCCAGCGTGTCCTGGGTCTTCCCCGGGGCCTCCTCCTGGTGGGACGTGCCCGGAACACCTCCCCAGGGAGGCGTCCAGGACGCATCCGGAACAGATACCCGAGCCACCTCAACTGGTTCCTCTCGACATGGAGTAGCAGCGGCTCTACTCCGAGCTCCTCCCGTGTGACTGAGCTCTTCACCCTATCTCTAAGGGAGCACCCAGCCACTCTGCGGAGGAAGCTCATTTCGACCGTTTGTATCCGCGATCTCGTTCTTTCGGTCATTACCCAAAGCTCGTGACCATAGGTGAGGGAGGGAACGAAGATTGACCGGTAAATTGAGAGCTTTGCCTTTCGGCTCAACTCCCTCTTTACCACGACGGTCCGATACAGCGACCTCATCACTGCGCACGCTGCACCGATCCGCCTGTCAATCTCGCGCTCTATCCTTCCCTAACTCGTGAACAAGACCCCGAGATAGTTGAACTCCTCCACTTGAGGAAGGACCTCTCCACCCACCCGGAGAGGGCAAGGCACCTTTTTCCGGTCGAGCACCATGGCCTCAGATTTGGAGGTGCTGATTCTCATCCCAGCGGCTTCACACTCGGCTGCAAACCGTCCCAGTGCATGTTGGAGGTCCTGGTTCGTTGGAGCCAACAGGACAACATCGTCCGCAAACAGCAGAGATGAAATCCTGTGGTCGCCAAACCGGACCCCCTCCGGCCCCTGGCTGCGCCTAGAAATTCTGTCCATGAATACAGTGAACAGAACCGGTGACAAAGGGCAGCTCTGGTGGAGGCCAACATGCACCGGGAACAGGTCCGACTTACTGCCGGCAATGCGAACACAGCTCTGACTCCGGTCATACAGGGACCGAACGGCCCTCAACAGAGGACCCCGGACCCCATACTCCCGGAGGACCCGACAAAGGACACCCCGGGGAACACGGTCGGTGGACAGGTTGGGCGAACTCCCATGAACCCTCGAGTATCCGATGGAGAGTATAGAGATGGTCCAGTGTTCCACGGTCGGGACGAAAACCACACTACTCCTCCTGAATCCGAGATTCGACCAACGGCCGTAGCCTCCTCTCCAGTACCTTGGAGTAGACCTTACCGGGGAGGCTGAGGAGTGTGATCCCACAATAATTGGAACACACCCTCCGGTCCCCCTTCTTGTAGAGAGGGACCACCACCCCGGTCTGCCACTCCATTGGCGCCGCCCCCGATCGCCACACGATGTTGCAGAGACGTGTCAGCCAAGACAGTCCCACAACATCCAGAGACTTTAAATAGTCAGGACGGATCTCATCCACTCCCGGCGCCTTGCCACCATGAAGGCTGCCAATCACCTTGGTGACCTCTGCCAGGGAGATGGAAGTATCCGTCCCAACATCCTCAGCCTCTGCCCCCGGGGCGGAGGACGTGACTGGGGGATTGAGGAGAACCTCAAAGTATTCCTTCCACCGTCCGACAATATCCCCAGTCGAGGTCAAGAGCTCTCCACCCGCACCATACGCGGTGTTGGCAAAGAACTGCTTCCCCCTCCTGAGGCGCCGGACGGTTTGCCAGAATCTCTTCGAGGCCGACCGATAGTCATGCTACATGGACTCTCCGAACTCCTCCCAGTCCCGGGGACCAGCCGATACTGGACAGCTGTATCAGGAGTCCCCCGAACCATCATGGCTCGATAGGACTCCTTCTTCAGCCTGACGGCATCCCTTACTGCCGGTGTCCACCACAGGGTTCGGGGGTTACCGCCGGGACCAGCAACAGAGACCTTACGACCACAGCTACGACCCGCCGCATCGGCGATAGAGGAAGAGAACATGGTCCACTCAGATTTGATATCCCCCTCCTCCGCCGGGACCTGGGAGAAGCTCTCCCGGAGGTGTGAGTTGAAAGTCCGCCTGACAGGGGGCTCAGTGAGACGTTCCCAGCAGACCCTCACTACACGCTTGGGTCTGCCAGGTCTGACCGGCTTCCTCTCCTGCCAGCGGATCCAACTCACGCCTTGGTGTTTGTGATGGACAAACTGTGACTAGCACAGAAGTCCAACAACTGAACACCGCTCGGGTTCAGATCAGGGGGGCCGTTCTTCCCGATCACCCCTCTCCAAGTGTCACTGGCATTTCCCACATGGGCGAGAATAACGGAGTCCCCGGTCGGTGCACCGTCCAGTACCCCTCCCAAGGACTCCAAGAAGGCCGGGTACTCTGCACTGCCGTTGGGCCCGTAGGCCGTCACAACAGTGAGAGACTTGTCCCCCACCCAAAGGCGGAGGGACGCGACCCTCTCATTCACCGGGGAGAACTCCAACACGTGGTGGCTGAGATGGGGGGCAATGAGTATGGCCACCCCAGCTCGCCGCCTCTCCCCGCGAGAAACACCAGAAAAGTGGAGCGTCCAACCCCTCTCAAGGAGTTGGGTTCCAGAGCCCAAGCTGTGTGTGGAGGTGAGGCCGACTATCTCTAGTCGGTATCTCTCAACCTCCCCCACGAGCTCGGGTTCCTTCCCCCCCAGTGAGGTGACGTTCCACGTCCCAAGAGCCAGATGTTGCGCGTGCGGACTGGGTCGCCGAGGTCTCCGCCTTCAACCGCTGCCCAGTCCTCTCCGCACCGCTTCGCCACCATGGACCCCGGGTGGACCTCCTGGGCCCACAGGAGGGACTGCCCACGTCGTCCATTCGGGCTGAGCCCGGCCGGGCCTGTGGGCTAAGGCCTGGCCACCAGGCGCTCGCATACGAGCCCCGACCCCAGGCCTGGCGCCAGGGTGGGGCCCCGGCTGCGCCATGCCGGGCGACGTCACTGTTCTCATTTTTGTGCTGTCCATGGTGTCTTCAGACTGCTCTTTGTCTGACTCGTCACCCGAGACCTGTCTGCCATGGGAGGCCCTACCAGGGGCATGAAGCCCCAGACAGCATAGCTCCCAGGATCACCCGAGTACTCAAACTCCCCCACCACGTTAAGGTGGCAGTCCAGGGGGGAGTCTTCAAAATATCAATATTTAATACTCAATACTACACATCATAACGCATCCATAGTACATATATATCACTGTACTATTGATCATAGCATATTTATCATCCATCCATCCATCATTGTACTATTTATCATAACCTCCTGAAAGTACATCCATAATACAGCATCATCATTTCCAACAAGGACAAAAAAAAGTACGAGTCATTGCGATATCTGAAGAAGAGAAGTGTGCTCAGAGGTAAATGTTCTACAATAAATACTTTACTCTCTAAACTGAACTGATGTGATTATACAGACCCATTAGTTATCAACAATATCACTTAACTAAGCATTTGTTATCTCACACTATTTACACTAAAACCTATGCAATTGATAAATCTGTGACAAAGCCTTGGTAGCTGTGTACACTCTTAGTAGAACACAACCATGGAGGAAATCAATTGTCAGCAGAATGGATGAGCTCAGTCCTGCTTCGTTAATTAACCCAGTCCTATGATATCAACTAATTATCCATAATAATGCAAACATGATGACGTCTCTACAATCAGAATACTGTATAAAGACATCAGGCTATAGCTGAACCCATTCACACTTGATGGAAATATTGTGTTGAAACCTAAATTGGTTCCTATTGGTTTGTTTACAATAAAACTATGCACTACATTATGGAGGAGACACATTTGTATAGTGTATATACATAATAGATCCATGAGTGGATACTATGACAGTTGAAACCAAAATAGTTGTGACATGACATGCAGGGAAATAGCCTTCTGTACAATCCAACACAAATGTATACTATCACCGTATTGACAGCCGAGCAGTGTAAAACAGGGGGCATGCCTGGGGTGTTTTTCAGTTATAATGTTGAAATTATGCGAGTTGAAACAATGCCTGCATCATCATCAGTCGCCAATGGAAAACGCCACAGAACAGTTTGTTGAAATACACTAAAGGCAGCAGCGCGCTCGGTCTGTTAGAGGAGGCTCGCAGTGTCCTGTGGCTGAAGATGAAGCACAAAACACTAATCTTACCTGTCATAACTCCATCTGCTGTAGGACATGCTCCTGCTGCCGCTCACTCCCTCCATCCGCCCTCACGGTGCGATGACGCGGGTGTGTGCAGCGCGCAGAGCCGCTGAGGAGCTGGAGGAGAGAGGCGGGCTGTACCACCAGCTCAGAGGGGAGGCATCAGGCAAACATTCACATACTGTCTTATTCTACACGTCAAAGAGCCACAGTAGTATCCTTAGGTAGTGACTCTTGTTTTTATTAGTATTATTATTATCATTATTATTTTTTCATCTATGAACCATTTTCTGTGTTCCTAACAAAGAATGAATTGAATTATTTTCGTCATTTATAATCTCTCTGCATTTAACATGGTTGTAAAAATCAAGTTATTTTTAATTTTTTTATGTTGAAATCCCAGAGAAATACATACATCCACGCATTGAAAAGTCAATATTTTGTATTTTATTTTATTTTAGCTTGAAACGCTAAACACAGGCAACACTGTTATGGGGAAAATAAACAAAGGCGATTTTCAACAATATGAACCATGGCAATAATATAAAGCTCTTTCGTAAAGTACATTTCCTAAACGAATAATCTCAGAACGGGCCTGACTATTTTACACCAAGCTGAAGCAATCACCAGATAAATATACTCTTCTACTTTCATAGTAGGAATATTTCATATCAAATCATCACAATTTTGGGCCAACTTTTAAACAGATTTAAATATTCCTCTTTACATATAGATACAGCCAAGTTGTGGATGTGTATTTACTTATAAACATATAAAAATACTAGTTTCATAAGAAAATAATGTATAAAAGTAGAAACATTTACTCAAGTCCATACTCCCACCATCAGATGTGTGTTATTATACAGAGGACAAGGCGACAGAGTGAGGAGGGTCTAACAGCACTTAGAGGGGTCTCCACAGAGGAGCTAAGGTCCAGCTGGAGTTCACACACATCCTCTTGTTACAAAGGACAGTTCTACAGAAGTGGAATGGTTGGATGTTTGATGGTGAACGTTGATGAAATGTTTCATATCTTTTGGAATGATCTGGACTCAAGTGAAGGGGTTTAACATTATTTCAAATGAATACACCATTTACAATATTCAGAGCTTAAATTAATACATGTCAAAGCCAGAAAGTGTGCTGCCACTGTTGTTCAGAATGTGAAATACAATATATTTATACCACTTTTCACCCAATAGTTTATATTTCTATACACTTAACAGGTGCTCAATATGACTACATCCTCTAAGACTTTAAAATCAGATACAGTAGACACTCATGATTGGATCACTGAGATGAAGTAGAGGTTAAAGACAAAGAATAAGATGCTGCAGAATGACAACATTAGCACAAGTACTTTCTTAAGGGCGCCTAGGTATAGTTCACTGTACGTATATATACAATTAACTTTCATATATGCAAAACCAAAATCATCCTCACGCACTTTACTGTGGTGATTTAATCAGTCATATGAATTACACTTTGTAAAATCACAAGAAAGTCATATGTACAGTAGCAAATAAGCACATGGGGGCAAAGGGGTATGGCACAAAGGACACAAGGCTTCATTTGATCACCTCTCTGCTGGACAGAGAACTAAGTCATTAACATTCGTGATATATCGTTTTCATTCACTGGTAGCAGGTACAAAGGTCACTACAAGGCAAGAGAGGTCCTTCAGAGTACAAAAGATGAAGTTGTGGAGCAGATTTCGCAAGGCATTGTTTAGTGTTGGACTTTCTACACCTGAAGGTAAAGTGGTGCTGATTTGGCATTGTCTGTTGTTCATAGAGATGTCTCAGGACAGGGTTCCTGCTCAGAGGAACAGAGCTGTCTGGAGTCATGCAGGTGAAGGCAGTCATCCTCAGAGGATGGTGAGGCAGAGCAGGTGGAGTAGAGGGCTGTTACAGTGAAATAAGGCCACTCACACGATCACACAGTGGCACCCACTTTTGTCCTTTTCTTTCCTCGTAGGTTCGGGTGAAGGAGGACATTCCTGTTCTTGAAACTTTCTGTAAGTTAGAAGAAACACTAATCGATTGAGTATTAACAACATAAGATCATTTCTATAACAGACTAATGAGTAAAACCGACCTTATTACTCTAACCAGCTCATGAAAAGCCTGGTCTACATTCATACGGATTTTGGCTGAGGCTTCCATATACGTAACTTTCAGCTGCCGGGCAAGCTGCTGCCCTTCTTCTTGAGTTACCTGCAAGAGAAAGAGACATTACGCTGATGTTTTAATAATAATAATCATAAAAATAATCATAATAATGCATCAGTTTTATATAAAACTTTTCAGGTCACTCAAAGGTGCTTCACATGTCAGTATTCCTTCACTCCATACATTGTGATGATAAACTACTACTGTAGCCACAGCTGCCCTGGGACACACTGACAGAAGCGAGGCAACCAGTATGTGCCATCCTCTGACCACCACTAACCATTCACACACACAATTGTACAATCATTAGATGAAACGTAAATACTTCAGACAGGTGCATTGGGGAAGGCATACGTAAAGCTCTAAAAAGTAGAAACAATCATAGACACAGATTATTTACAAAACATGGGGCAGCTGCTTTTCATGCTGCTAAAATCTGGAACAATCTTCCTGAAGATGTAAGACAGGCCTCCTCTCTGACAATGTTTAAATCCAGGTTAAAAACAGTTCTGTTTAGCTGTGCATACAACTGAGGGATTTTATATTTGTATCTTTCTTTTTAATGTTCTGTGATTATTTATGATTTTAACGCTATCTTATTTTGTTCAGCACTTTGGGTTGCCTCGTGTATGAATTGTGCGATACAAATAAACCTTGCCTTGCCTACAATGTGTCAGCATTAATATTGTAGAATTGTATTTCAGTCAAAAGGAAGGTGCCAATTGATCTTTTTGGGAAGGATGCAATTTCTGATAGAAATGTTTCTTCCGATCATTATTAGATAAAGATTAGATTCACAAACCATTCTATCGTCCAACATCATGCCTAATGCGTTATAACATTGTCACCACTTCTTGACACTTAAGTAGAAAAATAATAATACATATTGATGTACTGACAAAGAAGATGTGGAACTTTGTGACAGCTTTTCTTTCAAACAGATTTCCCTGTAATTCCCGGGCCAATTTTCTCCAAACTGACTTTTTTGCCAGTTACCATAGTTACCAGGAAAGAGTTTTCAGTTGCCCACCACCACAATGTTAACTATTGGCTCTTTTGCATGTTGTGACGTCACATGTGCGCAAGCTTTTCAACACTTGTCATACCAAATCCAGTCCAAGTCCATTATAAAAAATCTCCTTCATTTATGAAAGCCAGGGAAAGGACAATAAGAAAGTGTTATATGGACATTGCATCCGTTCCACCAAAAGAGGGCAGCGTTGTTCCTCTGTAGAATATGTACGAGCAGCATAGTGTTTCAGAACCCACTCTTGTGAGTGTTTTTCTGTTTTAGATTCCCTTCATCGGTAACAGAACCAGGTTAAGCTCGTCCCTGTGTGTCTCACTTACCTGTCGCTGTTGCTCTAGATCTGCTTTATTGCCTACGAGGATCATGGGAAATTCATCTCTGTCTTTGACTCGAAGAATTTGTCTTTGGAATTTATAAATTTCTTCAAAACTGCGAATCACACAAACAGGCGCAGCATTCAACACACATGTAAAAGACTATGTTGAATACAGACGTTTACGTTTTGGAAGTTCGGTGTATTGTCTGAAATTTTGGGAAGAAGTGGCCGGTGAAGAATTGAGGAAGTAAGAAGTGTTAAAGAGAAACAGGCGATGAAATCATGTAGAGAATTGAACACAAGAGGATCTTTTGTTAACATGACCTTAATATACAGAGGATTCATATAGTTGACAATGAATGAAAAAAACACATCTTGTAAGCAAACTTGTAACAGAGCAATTCATTAAAAAAACAGATGATATTTAGTATTGATAATGATACTAATGTTTTTAATTACTTGTGTGATATTAAAGTTTTAAGGTTTTTAAATACCTGTGTGATTTGTATGTTTTAAATTACCTCTGTGATTTGAATTGTGTTTTTACTGGAGATTTTGGTGTTGCCTTGCGCCTTGTGTGGTGTGGACTGTGGAGCGCTTTGTGTTGCCCTGTGTATGAAAGGCACTCTACAAATAAAGATGTATTGATTGACGCATACAAAAGTAGATCATAATTCAGATGTTAAAATCAGCGTGGAGGTGTCACTCACCTTCCTCTGTCAGTGACTGAGAAGACGAGCAGGAAGCCCTCCCCTGTGCGCATGTATTGTTCTCGCATGGCTCCGAACTCTTCCTGCCCAGCCGTGTCTAGGACTTAAGCACATACAAGCCAAACTTAAGTGGAGTTGCTTATAACACTGGGTAACACACTTTTTTTTTTTTGAAAATAGTCCAGGGTTTTCCAGCTGAAAGGGTTTTTCAGACTAATTTTGATGCTCTGAGTCTGAAAATGACCTTGGTTTTGCTCAATCAGGTCAGGATTTTTTGCTACAGAAATATTTTTTGAAATTGATTTTGCGTAAAAAACTAATTTCTGCGGATCATCAGCTGAGAAACCCTTGAAGTTTTTTCCGTTTTCCTCAAGAAATAAAAGTCAACGTATCTAAAGTCATTCAGTTTTTATTTACTCCATCAAATTTGATAAGCAGAATTCATAATAACGTAGACGTACATAATCCGTAACACTATGGCTGCATCTCAAAAAGTTGACCTGATAGAGCAACATGCATGTGATATTCGGACTCAGAACACCAACATTAGTCTAAATCAGATGAGAAACCCCTGACCATTTTTTGGCTGTCAACTTGTGTAATAAGTCCCATATCAATCTAGGGACAACACCCTTTTCAAAACTCTGTCTCTTTCCCTTTTTATTTCTTCTGGAATGTCAAAACGATCCCCAAAGACTTCTGTGTACATGTTCAGACCCAAACCGTCCCAGTAAAAAGTATTTCAGACTCAGATTCAAATTCAACATGTGCAGAAGTCCCCAGTGTGCACAAGACAACAACATAAAAGCAAATCCTTTTCATAAACCATAATATTAATATAACTTATTTTTTATTTTTGCTGCTACTGGACACCTGAATTTCTCCTACAAGGATCAATAAAGTATCTATCTATCTATCTATCTATAAAATATGCCATCATCTAGTTTTTTCCTAAGAATAATCATAAATAGCTGCTGAGAATCTTTGGGGCAGCATGAGGGAACCTTGATTTGGGCTCCACCACGTTCTTTTGTTTCCATGTGTAAACCTTTTTTTTTTTTTAGTGTTGCCAAATACAAAATCATTCAAAGGAACACAATGGAATCACTACGTCTAACTGAAGTATAAACTAAAAACTATGGTTGAAAACTAAATGCAGAGTACCATGCTGAGAAATAAAGAAATAGTATGCGTTATTTTTTTTGCATAACAATGAAAATGAGACTATTTTTCTTGACGATTTATGTTTTAGTCTGGGATGCGCATGCTCACTATAATAAGCAATGTATTTTTTTGTATTTGTATTGCTTTTTTTTTTTATGAACTAATTTAATTTGAGTCCGACAAAAAGATGAATAATTAATGCTACTGGTCTGCACTATTCCATTATTTCAATTTAAAAAATGTCAAAACTAATTTAGGGGATTTACTTTTGTTTTCTAAGTCAGAAAAAACTTATCAGCGTGATATAATAGTGGTACAATTATATCACATTATCACAAGACTCAGGAGATTTCAGACAGAAGGGGCGGAGCTACATGTTAGTGCCTGCTTGTGGTCGGATCTAAAAAACATGTCCAGGTTTGTTTTTGATGAGTGAACACAATATTAACATTAAAGCAAAAAGAATGGATTCTGCACATTGTGTCTTGTTTAAATCCCATTTCTTTCCATTATTCAGATGTATTTTTTTACATGTATGTATCCAGCCCAGTGCACTTACTGTCAAGCCGCGCCGCCCTCTCGTCTATCACACACTGCTTGGTATAGGAATCTTCAATGGTGGGGTCATAGTCGGTGACAAAGTATGACTAGAGGAGAGAAGAGAGGGCACAAAAGAGACGTATGAGGCACAAGTGTGAGCTCTGGACATTGTGTCAACAGTCGGCAGGTGGATCACTACTATCGGCACATGTGAGACCACTGTTTACTCCTGTTTATGGTTGAAACAGGCCTGAGTGCCTCCTGACTTCAGCCTCCATCAGGCAACTGCCAACGCAAATGAGACACGAGAGCACACACACACACACACACGCACACGCACACACACATAAACATAGTCTATCAAACTTGGGATTTCAGTCTTCTCTTCAGAAACGCATGTTGAAATAGACTCAAGTAATTAAGGTTTCATTTAATTTCGTTTGTCAGAAAATAATATTAATAACTCATATGCAAAATGTTTTACTATTTAAACTTTTTCTTTTTTTTAAACACCTTTTTCTATTTCGAAAATAGCTCTGGCTATATGGTTGTGAAAAGCACCACATAAATAAACTGTACTAACTTACATACAATTATGAGACGGTGGCTGATCGTCTTAAGTAGTTAAATCCAGTAACAGCGGTGCATGCTGTTAAGGATAGTGAGGCTAATTTAAAACTGGGGGTGGCAGAATCCCACACTAGCCGATCCCTCTCTTCTTTAGGCTAAGGACTCCATAAACAGGTTTAAAAAGCACTTACATGCTCATTTTAAGGAATAACTGTTGCCAGATTGCCCGCTGCGGTTTGAGGGCCAATCCCTTTATGCCAATAAATGAAGTCTCACTAATACAAGCGATTCACAATATGGATGAGAATCTATTTATTGCACATTTTTTTGTGTTAGAAAAGCAGCAAATATGTTTTAAAAATGAGGCATACTTGATGGCTGTGCTCATCGTAACACAAATTTGGTGTCACAAATTTGACCAGTTGTCATTCTCTACATTCACTCATTATCACCTTCACCATGACAACTTAAATATGGCACACTATAACAAGAGGTGTATTAAACATATCTATCTATCTATAGATGTAGACATACAAGTATATATTTCTTTGCACAAGAGCAGAGGTGTCTAACTTATTTGGGTCGGGGGCCGAATAGAAAAATAGAAACTGGTGAGTTTCACTATCATTTTCTTGAAAACAAATTTAAATTTAACCCAAACTGGACCAAATATAAAGTCAAACACATTGCTTTATATTTATATATTTAACTCATGTGATATGTTTGGTTCAAATTGTAGATTAAAATACATTTGTTGGTTTTCCAGAGAAAATAGATGGCCCACTACCATCAATGCTGCAGGTTGATAATAACAATTGAATAGCATTTTAGGGGCCACAAACAATAGTTCTGCGGGCTGGATTTGCCCCACGAGCTTGAGTTTGACATGCCTGCGCTAAAGTATACATGTTTATACTTTCATTGTTCATACTTTTTATACTGTTGTTTCTTAATTAAGCTAAATCAATGTTTAAAGTATAGGGTTGTGCTATACTTATCTTGTGTTAGACTTTAACACTAAGAATAGGTTTTGTGACTCAAATAATAACTGCAGAATGAAATAAAACTGTATTTCTCATCAAATAACCCAATATGTGAAACAAGGCATATCTCTGGCATGATGTGTGCAAACGCATAAGCAAATGCCATATTCACCAAGCTTTTGGGATCCAAACAAACTCATCGATTATAAAAACAATCGTTAATTACAGCTCTGGTTTGTAATCCTGAATGGAATGAATAATGGGATGCCAGATCAGAACATTGAATTCCAGCACAGGTTTGCAGAGGGTGGGTGGGGGGGGGAGCTCTCTGGTGCAAGTGCCATTTGAGCAAATGTTTACCTGGACTGACCTCAGGCTAATGCACAGCAGAGAATGGCATGCTGCATACACAATAACCCTCAGGGAGAAGACACAAGAACAACACACACAAAGGAGACACTGGATTATCAGAGTTTAAGAGAAAAGCACAATGAAATACAGACACTAAAGGCAGCTAATAATGCAGCGATAGTTTGAATTAACAGTATTTGAACACATATCTGCCAAAAGCGAGAGTACTTAGGGTCTAGTCTAGTAGCTCGGATGTTTGTGTAACTGTACAAACTGGGAATGTAACATCTTAATCGACTAATCGCAACTCATCACTTTGTCAGGGATGAAGCAGACAGAGACGGATCGTGGTGCGCCAAACTCTGGAAGTTTATTTAGGTATCTCTCAAGTTCCACTGGTTTCCATTGTTTCCTTCTCTCAGACAGAATGGAGTCAGTACACAGTTTATATAGTCATTGTCACGTCACACATCGAAAGACATACGTGTCACACAGAGACAGTCACATCATAGTCAAAATAATCAGAGTCCTTGTACAGTCCTGCACGTAGGCCATATTGCTATCTAATACTAACAACTTATTCAAATAGTTTTAAGCTAATTCAATAGCTTTTTAAACCGTACACATACTCAAATCTATACCACCAAGGATTTCAATAAGGAGTTGTAAATAATGCACAATAAAAGTAATTTTGAGTTGCAATACTTTTGCTTTGATAAAGTTTTATTGATTAAAGAAAATAATAACTCCACAACAAATAGATAATCAAATTACCGCCTAAACGGAATTACCGCTTCCGTCATCAACGTGTATGGAGTGATTGGAGCAATATCTAAACGCTGAACTTTGTAAAGCGCTCTGGGTGACTTTGGTCTGTAAAATGCGCTATATAAATAAACTTTACTTACTTATTTACTTACTAAATGCAGGAAAACAAGCATAAACATGTGTAAGGCAGGACTAGAATATACCAGAACTATGCTAAAACAATACATCTAACCAGGGTGAAACAAACTTTACATTTCATTGTTGAGGCTGAAGCTGAACACTTGGTTAAAACTGGTTCCAGGTGGGAAAAACTCTTTTGTGAGGTTTGACTTATCTTGTCTCCTATAGTAACTAAAGGGTGGGGGCAGTGGGCAGAGGGCCACAGGGAGGGGGGGGGGGGGGGGGGGGGAGTCACACATTTTTGACATTTTCCCCATGTTTTGTAGTACTGGCTCTCCTCAGAGACTAGTTAAGTGGTGACAGCTGAGGGGAGTGCGCCGGGAATGTGATGTCAAACCAACACCCTAAACATGGACTCATCACAAGAACCAAAAGCTCACGAGATTCCTACAAATTATTTACAGTGACTGGTGTAAGCTCTGATTTTCTGTCACAGGCAATTATTAGTTGAAAACAATGGACCTTGGATTTAATTTACTGCCTGGATAATCTAGATAAAGACATATTTTTATTAAAAACATGTAGAAAGTCTGTAAGTAGAAGTATAGATATAATCATCATTCTTTATTAAGCTTAAGATGAATATTTTATTTCTAAAGTATTGAGTTGTACTATACTTAATTATCAATTATCTGATGCAACACTGAAATTTCCCCATGGAGGAACAAATAAAGGATTAATCTTTACATAATAAACGAGAAAAGCACATGTGGAGCGCAGACCTCCGCCAAAGGAAGCTCCACTCTAAAAAATTTTATAATTTGTTCAATTTCAGCTTTCTTGACACTTTTGTAATCATCCGCCCATAACTCTTTGATATATGTTGCTAACCAACACACAGACCCTGGTGATTACTTTACACTTGGTGGATAAACAACTCTGGTAAAAAGGTATTAACCTGAAGTCCTAATACGTAACTTATTAACCAAGACAAAGACAAAAACAAACGGATATCACACCGTTTCACGTTTGAGGTTTTTATGGCACTGAAAAAAGTATAAACACGTTTCCTCAATGTTTGTGGGCTTGCATCTCTGCAAACCAGACTCGTACTTGTTTTAGAAGATGGCCTCCACCTATTTGTTTTAAATTGTTCCTTGGTTTGTAGTCTTTCCACATAAAACAGATATTTTTCAACAGAGAAAGTTAGCTTTTTAATTCCAAGTGCATATGGAAAGTTTAACTGAAGCTAACACGTAGTTAAGATAAATATAATCCAGATTTTGCTACACATTTGACAAACATATTTTTTATCATCAAACAAGGGCAGTGTAGACTTTAGACTTTGGGAACGGCTGTACACAGGGCAGTAGTATCTGAACTAAAAGCTACACTGAATTTATTAGACAAAGAATTGATTTACTGAATTGAGTATAAAATCACGAGAATATAAATCTCTAAGAAACATTAATGGGATGTCTTCCTCAAACTTCCTGCATTTACTTCCTGATATTTAATAATAATAATAATAATAATAATAATATGTTTTACATTACTTTGCTTTACAAACTGCAGCTTAGTACAAAACTATGATTTATCTTACAGCAACAACACTTACATTGCTGTATTGTTGTGGAAAGGCTTCACAGTGGAATAGAATAAATAATGTATGTAGCAGCAGAGTGCACAGTGTTATATTGTGATTCTTACTGCAGTATATCTGGTAATATACATATAAATACAGCTTCTTCCTCTCATGTCACAGCGACCGCACCAGTTCTTGAGCACAGAAGTGATGCAGCACTTCTCAAATGGCAATGACCACAGCGACTCTGGACACTACCAGGAAGCATATTTCCCAGAGGACACTAGAAGCTGCATCAGGAGCACTGCGTAACTCAATATAGAAATCTATACATTTGTGAGGATGATGTCATCGCAGACAAGATGTAATTTGTCCAAATCTGGTTAAGTCCCTGGATGTCATGGTTTGTATATTGTCTTTTTTTTTTAATCGTATGTTTCCATTCAGTTCCCATCTGTAACACTGACGACGGTCTAAAGGCAAAAATAACAGAATACTATAATGAGGAACAAGCACCACACTATACTCAGCAGCAGGATATCATTTCAGTTACTAACAAAGTATTTCCTCTAAAAATATTTGCTCTGAACTTACATTGAGTGGTAACTAATGGTAACTGGTGGAGATTCCTTAAGGCAAAGGAATGCTGTAAAGAGAGGCAAGTAGAAAGGGAATGATAAGGCCAGTACAGACATGACAACCACAGAGGGTGTGTGTGTTTGGGGCTGAA